GGTTCAATGTCTTGCTCAAAAAATGTAATGCAAATAAACAGTCATCTCCATATTACCAAGGTGTACTCATTAGACAGTCTGGTAACTACTCATCTCTTCTTGGAGAGGAGATAAGCCACAGATTCCAAATGTGATTTTCAAGTCAAGATTTTTCTTTTTTACTCATTTTAATGAAAAAAAAAGTCAATATTACTGTATTTCTTGTAACTGTTTCTATTTTGATAAAAATTGCAGAAAATACTATTTTAATTCCCTAAAGTTTAGAATTTAAATTTGTTGTCCACTTCTTTGTGCTTTCGTACTACTTAGCTGGCAAGACAATATTAATGTCTGTCTCTTGCTGCATTCTCTGCTGCATTTCTGTAAGGCAGGGAAATGCTTTCTCCTTGTGCTGGCTGGAAGCTGATACATGGAAGTTGCACAGGAGCTGATGATGCACCAGAAGCTCAGGTCCCACTTTTGCAACTTCAAGGCTAATGCCATTATCGTTAAGCCAACTTTACTTTCCTCAGAACAGCTTTTACTCCTTCTACTGTTCCGTTTTTTTGGAAACATTGGAAAGAGGAATAATTAAGCCCCCAGATTTATAATAATCATCTTCTCTTTCCATTTGAAATTTAGAAATTTCCTCTGAGATTATGCTGCTTGAGGTACAGAAAAGACAGTATCCTTGATTAATTATTTTCATTGTCCACTCAAATTTGAAGAGTTGGATTCATACTGGTAATAAAACTAGCTTGCTGTAAAGCAAAGCATTGAGAGGTAGGGATCATACTGCACATGCAGTTCAGCCTGGTCTGCGGTGCTGTTGGGAGGAGGGGACAGAGAACTACGCTCAAAATTTGGAAAAACATCTAATTCTTGTTTGCAGGTTTTCTGGTGATGTCTCTCAAACAGACTGCCAAAGGTTTGAATGCCCTGTTCACTCTTACATTGTTGCTTTACAGAAACCACCTTTCAGATCACATGCCTTGCAGCGCAACCCTGAAACTCAGTTCAAAGTAGTTAGGCAGTAAGGGAGGAATACAGGTTTCTGCCTCTCTTACAGTGTTTAAGCCAGCTAGCAGAGCCAAAGAACAAAAGTGATTTTTCAGTAAAAATAATAATAATGATTTGTTGTTTATACTTGTCATTTCAGATTCTGAATAAATAATTTCACTGCATAATTTCTTCATTCTGTATTAGAATAGTATTTGCTGGGAAAACAAGCAAGGAGAGAGTAGAGCACAAAATCACAACAGAGATGGAAAAAGTCCATAGAGGTTTCAAGCAATCCTCTTGCCAATAGAAGTCTATTGCTTAGTCCATATTATATCTGGTTTATTTTTAAATGGTTCAGTTGACAGTGTTCCTGCCACTTCCCTGGGGAAACTATTTCATTCCCACTATTAGGCAACTTTTCCAGAGATTTATACTAAGTTTTCCACTGCTTGGCTGCCTTTCATTACCCCTACTTAGAACAACAAGACGATCCATCCATGGCAAGTCCTTTCTTTCCAGAAGATTTCACTCTTCTCTCTATGACTGCCAGGAGTGCTATGTGAGGTCTGGGGTTTCCTCTCTTGCTCCTAGGTCCCCATTGTGTCGCATTTATTCACTCTGTCACATTTTTCACGTGTGAGTTGCAAGGGAGGGCAGCTACTCCAGCAAATCACTGCTGTTAGCAGCAAAAGCTGCACATAGGCTGCACACATGTAGTTCTTTTTATCTTTTTTTCATAATTTAAACTATTCACCTTTTTTTTTAATTCCCTCTAGTTTGTTGACATCTGTCTGGTTCTCAGGTGTCCAAGACAGAACAGCATGTGAGTGCAGCTTTGCCACAGCTGTTTTATAAAGGAGTTGTCAGCTTGGTTAAGGGACCTGAGGTTTCCTAGTATGCAGTCTCACTCCACAGTAGCTTTAACAGCTGCTGTGAAAGCTTATACCTGATTATTCTCTTCATCCCCTCCTGGTCTTTTGAGTCGTTTTTGGCTTCTGGATTATCTCTTGCTTTTATTTGAACACTGAGTCCAACAGTGGCATGTCTGAAGTTTGCAGAACCCCTGTTAAAAATATTAATCACTCCTGATTTTAAAATCCTGATTCTCTTCCACTATTCTTTCCAGAAGTGTTGTCCTTGACTGTGTGTAAATAGAGGTGTTTGTATATAACTCTGTGTGTGTGAAGGGATTGGTATGATAATGTGCTTACAAAATCCTGGCTTTGTTATTTTCTAGGTATTTGGTGCTAGAACATGTGTCAGGTGGGGAGCTCTTCGACTATCTCGTAAAAAAGGGAAGATTGACACCAAAAGAAGCCAGGAAGTTCTTCCGACAAATCATCTCTGCTTTAGACTTCTGCCATAGTCATTCAATATGGTGAGTACAGCCATTTCCAATGGGAGTTACCTGTTACATAAAAGCACGGGGTAAAGGGATCTTGATAGTTTTGCTTACTATTAAGTAACTGATGTTGTAAAGCTCTAAAAGCATTATGTAAATTGCTGGTGTTTTTTTTAATTCTTGGCCGTCTGTGAGACAGTGCACCAGTCACAGACTTTTCATGGAGAAGATTGTCCATGATTTCTCACTGGAGGAGAAATTCACAGGGAATGCTTTAACGAGGAAAACCAAAACCACCACGGAAAAACAGTTTAATTTCCATCATTCTTGGGGCACTTACTAATAACTGACAATTACATACACTATATCAAAATGAATCCCTGAAGAAACTTGGGACAATTACAAATACAGCAAAGTCATTTTATGGCTTCCTTCAGTTTTTGGAAACCTGCTGGCTTTTGGCAACCTTCACTGAGTCCCTTCTGCGCATTTGAGGCACTGTTGCCTTTAATTTCCTTTCCAGTAGGGACGAATTTCCTTGGTCTGACTGCTATTGATACCCACTAACTCCATCATATGATTTAACCATCAAGTGTGGTTTGATGTGTGCTTTCAGGTGGTGTTTTAAATTGGACCAGTTTCTCCTTCATCTTCAGCAAGTTTAAGTAATTTAAATTATACTGAAATCAAGTTGTTATAATCAGTCTGAGTACAGAGTTTCTGTATAGCTGCTGACCCATGACTGCCTGCTTATTTCTCAGAAATGCATCTCCTCACATTTAGATTGGCTGGGGGAGACCATTTGCATTATGTCTGCATGGCTGCTTTTCCATAGCCACAGACAGCCATAGATCCCCCCTCCAAGAGGCCAAGGGCCACTGATAGATATTGCAGCAGTTGGCTTTGCATAATCATAGTTGGCTTTGCATAATCACTGTGTGGTTGCTTCTCAGTAGCCATACAGTGATTTTCTGTACCCCCAGTTTTGTGCTGAGAACTCGCAAACCAGACATCCATAGCATAAATGGCCACAGCAAAAATGGATGCCTAAATATTTAACTAGCCCCCTCCCTCTACATCTCTGACTCATTTCAACAAGAAATATTAATCTGAAAGAGAGCATATTTCTAATAAATGGAAAGGGAAATAAGAGCCTTTCTTGAGGATATATTAAGGAGAGTATGCTGTTAGCAGAAGAGGCAGTTCAAAGGTGGTGAATCTGGGTGAGAAGGTCTTGAGGACAATGCCTGCCTGGCACAGGCAGGGTTACAATAGTCAGAGAAATTCCCAGAGGAGCTGAGAGCAGGTTGCATGCCCTAACTAGAGGATCTAAGTTTTCTGTGTTGGCAGAGACCTCTGACAAGTTTTATTCTGCGAATTCCACAATTTTTCCTCCCTGCTAATCAACTGGGTTGAGCGATCATGACCTTCTTATAATCAGCATAATCCTTGGTAGGTTCTACAGCTGTTATTTTTTATGTACACTGGGCAGTGTAACCACTGGTGGATTGCATACATACGTGTTTCTGTTCCCTAGTTGGCTTAACATGTAGTGACCCAATCCAAGAAGACTCAAAAATGTTTAAGTACAACTGAAGAGAAATTATTTACTCTTCCAAATGAATATTCCAGAGAAATATGAATCTCTGTTGGGATAGAAGTTTCTATGAAAGTATGCGTATATACACATACATACTAGTCCTTTGGGCTTGTGCTGGATATGTCTTGATAGGGCAGACTTTAGTAAACTGAGTGAGGATTGTGGTGAGGCTGTCAGACAGACAAGCACCTCTGCAGGTTTAACGATATGTGGAATTTCCAAGGCAGAGTGCATGTCTCTCTTGAGGAATCCATTTTCCTCTGTTAAACATATTGGATTGTAGGCAGTAGTCTTGTTTAGAAGTAAATCCCCTGTCTCCTTGCCAACTCCCACTCGACTAGCATCTAGTGCTGAGTAAGTTAGCAGTAGATCATAAGCTCTCCCTCCCTCCAGGTCACTCTGAGTCTTGTGTGGTCTGTGTGATATTAGACTTTGTGTTGTATTCTGGACAGTTATCATTAAACCCTTTTTGAACATCAGATCATGCATAAATATATGTGTGCATGTGTGTGAGTATAAAAGTTAATGTGCTTTCCTAAGCAATGAAGCCTGACCTTGTCCTGTCGTGGGGCAGTGAAATGACAAATCATCTCATCAGCCAGGTTATCCAGTTATGACCATGTTGAAAAATGAAGGCTTCTGCTTTGGTTAATGACTAAATGTGGGTGCCTCTAACCTACTGGCAGAATAGATTGATAGCCTGGTGTCCCCAGCCCCATATCATTGTCCCATCTTCGTTCTGTACCTCCCAAAACACTGTGAAATACCTGTGGCTTACTTTCACAGCAGTATGTAACCACTTTCAGCTTTCACTGCTCAAAATGTATTGATGCACCAGGATTCCTGGATCAAAGAATCAGAAAGAATTCCCTAATCTTCCTGTCAGTAAAAGGCTTCTGCTGCTACTGTGTGGAGAGATCACTTATGTCTGAGAGGTGTTTTCAAACAAGCACCTCAGACAAGGAAGCAGAATAGGCTTGGAGCTTGAGTCTGTTTGTGTGCTGTTTTCAAAAAGTATGAGCTTTTTGTTCTTATTTTATTTAATGGAAACAGTGGGGGAAGATTTGATGTACGTCACTCTGAGGTCACTTACAGGGTTTTGTGGTACCGGTTGGCCATGGGGGAAAGTTTATAGGTAACCCACTGAAGGGTTCTCCAAGGACTTTTCTGCATACATAGCACCATGTCATGCTAGGGACCCAAAGGCAACTGTGGGTGCGAACAGACAGGACCGTGCAGAGGTATTATGTGGGATCCGGCAAACAGTTCATCTGTGTTACCTTGCTGCTTTGCTTGAGCTGGCAAGCAGAGCAGTTAGCTCAGTGATGCAGCATTCTTGCTTCTGCTTCCAGCTCTTCCTCTGTGCTAGCTCGGAGGGCTCTGCACCGTGCTGCAGTGCCCAGAGCAGACACACTCAGCAGTGGTGCAAGAAATGGCAGAGGAACCTGGCAGAGGAACCTTGGACATCAGTGTAAGACCATCCTAGCCTAGGAAGTTTTCTTTGGACGTAACTGATGCTCTTTTCATAAGCTGCCATTCACCTAATGCTGGGTGTCTGCTCTCCTAAATTCAGGGCCTTTAAGATGTCTCAGCTGGGTGCCTCAAATCAATAGTCCCTTTTGAATATCCTGCCTCCGTACCGTGGGAGAGCTAGTTCAGTGTTGGTTATATTTCCTGTTGGAAACAATGTAGGAGCACATATTGGGGTAGGTCGCAAACCCTTGCTTTCCTCAGGAAGAGTCTCTTTTATCTCTAGCAAGGGAATGCTGCAGCACCAATGGAGGGTGGGAACCAGGCAAGGAGAGCTGGCGGGCGCCTCATTGGCTGGGTGTGACATCACCGGCAAGAGCTGGGATTGGCAGCATGCGTATTTTGTGTGTGTTGGGTTTTTGCTTTGGTCAAGCTCATATTTGGTGTCTGTATCTCACAAGCTGACAAATAAAAATATGATTACAGAAAATGCCCCGTGGCAAACCTTATTATGGCTTCAGAGATAACAGATAATGCCAATTACTGCACAGGGCAGTGGTGACATTGAGAGGAAATCCCCTGCGGTAATGAGCAGCAAGATGATTATTTCATTTTATTTTTATTTTGGTTGGGTTTCATTTTGTGTTTTTTCCTGAGCATGCACAAGAGGGGGTTAAGGCAGGTTCTTTATGAATATTGATAAATGACAATTATGAGGGCCCTTTCTCCTTTCATTGCCTGGGGCTGCGCCTGCTTGAGTACGCACAAAGCTCTTGCTGAAGTGTGTCTGTGTGTGTATGCGTAGGCATGGGGGTGTGTGACTTAGAGGGCTGAGGCAATGAATAAGAGCTTTGTTTGACTTTGCCTTGTGTTATTCCCGTCAGTGCAGGGAGGGAAAAGGCTCCTTATAAAAGAATGCCTCAAGATTTCAGAGCAGTAGTGCCAAAATCTCTGGTTTTGGCAGAAATATATTCCTGCAGGCAGGAGCTGCAGAGCACTGTCAGTAAAGGAAGTATGCTTTTAGGGAGAAATCTGGGGTGTCTTCGAGAAACAGAGAAAGCTGAAGAATGCCAGGTGCCATGTTCTGTCAGATAGTGCCACCATCCTAGTGACTCCTGCTCTGCCTTGCTTCATTTATAAGGAGCATGCTATAGTGTTCTGCAGGGGTGGTCTGTTGAACACCTAAGACTGCAGCAGCCGGACAGTTTGAAATCATGACTCAAGGCCTCCAAATGTGAAACTTGTCTAGAAATTGTGGAATTTAATAAGGTTAGTTTCTGGTTTGTTTTCTTTCATTTCTGGTCCTTGAGTCTGCAGGTTTTCAAGTTTTCTTTCAGACCATCAGAAGTGAGGAAGGTACCTTTTTCCCCTGTTGAGAGCTGAGATTCACCAACCATTGCCTGAATCCAGGAGTTTCAGATCTGTGATTGAAACTTACCCTAAAACAGTGAGGAATTGTCAAATTTCCCTTGTACCGGGAACCTGAGAAAACCCATCAAGTACAGCAGCTGCAATGCCAAAGGCAAAGTTACCAGCTCAGCTAAAGTCAGAGGGCATGTATTTTTGTAATTTTACTTCTTTATATAAGCCACTGGAAACTCAAAAATGGCATAGTCTTATTGTAAGCATAACCAGGTAGCATTCTCTGTCAAGCACGGCAGTGGTGAGCAGACCTGACAGTCTGTTCTGGCTTTGAAATACATGAATATATGTTTTGAGGCAAGGTTCTAGGGAAAAGCAATATATTTTAATACATCAATGGAAATAATTGTTAAAAAGCAAGCAAGGTTCTATGCATACAAAGCCTTCTGCAGGTCTCCTGATATGTGTGTAGATGTTGTCCTTTTTCCTATCTATAACTATATTTATTTGTTCTGCAGAATTCTGTGAAAACTTACTAAATTTGAGCATAGCAACCATGTTTCTAAACAAAGATTGTTCTATAGGTAGATACAAGTTATACATTTGGATCTGATTTGCAGAAGCAAGAGAAAAAAAGATGGAAGTTTTTTTCTGCTCAAGAAAATTAAAAATATTGCTTCTCATACTATTAATTATTACTGATAAATTATTTGCGGCACATCAGGCACTTTTAAGAGGCATACTGCAGAACAATTATTCTGTGGTCTGGTCCTTGCGGGAGTTTGGGGTCAGTAAGAAAAGCATTTGCAAAGTAGCCAACAATTTGATTAGTACAAATGACCTGCAACTACTCCCAATTAGGAGGTTTCTTGGGTTAGAAAGCTGTGACCTACAATGAGTTGTCATAGAAACTGATATGAACGTTTCAGCTCAAAAATCACTTTAAAATAATGGGTTAGTTCATCATCTTGTGCCAGGTGACATAGCTCCTTTCAATCCAGGATCTGGAGTCTGTCACTACACCAAAAATCTTCTGCCAACCTTGGATGACACAGAGGGAGTGGTTTACTTCTCTTTTTTATGTATGCTGCAATTGCCTGCAGTACAGATACAGGGATATTCCCAGAGCAGGAGGACGGACTAGAAAGGCAATGGAGGGAGCTAGAGGAGCTGTCTGAATAGCATCACTGGGAGCAGCCAGAAAGCAAGCATAGCCCATGTACGGGTGGGAAGCTGCAACATGTTAACGCATAGGTGTGCCTTTCATTTTCTGTGCACCACCTCCAAGAACGGTGCCCATTTCCATGGGACAATTTTTTCAGACTTCTCTCTGTATCCATCTTGTGCTGCAAGGGAAACAAACCTTTGTTGTAATCTGTAAAAGAGGGAGGTTGTGGAGAGTCTGACTGTCTGTGCTTCCCCTGTCAGGCTTGTTTAATGGCTACTTTTCATTCACATGTTCTGCCTTCAAAAGCCTGCCGTATGCAGGCTCCTGGAGCTAACTTCTTGCTCCATTGTCTTGGTTGAGGAGCTCTGGGCAGTCTGTGGTCAGGGTTACACTGACTTCTTCTGCACTGCTGCATTTCTCTTTCATATTCTTTCTCGGCATATGCAGGGCTCAATAGGAGAGTTTGCCATGTTTGTCACTAAAGAAGCTGCTTTCTTCTCTTCTGATTTTCCAGCCATGTGATAAAGCCGCTACAGCTTTAGAGCCTTTAGAACAACGAAAGGGTAACGAGTCCTCCGTTCACCTGCAGAGAGAGGAGTTGATGCGGTCATATAAGACATGGAGAGCCAGAGAGATCAGCTGGAATGGGACCAAATTAAATGCATTTACTCTGCAATGTTCCATTAATGCCAAGTAATTACCACATACAGTGGGATTTTTGTTTTGTTTTGTTTTGTTTCATTTTGGCACAAGAGAATTCTTTCCAAATATGAATGCATGAGGCTGTCCAGGCTGCTGGGCTCTTAGGGAAATTGTACCAAGCCTTCCCTATTCCCATATGTTCCTCTCCCTTCCTTCTGGCACTTGAAAAGCTGGAAACACAAAGATGGGAAATGGAAATGCATAGAGGAAGTCTCATTCCCAGTGGCAGTGATGCTGGTTCTGCCACTCTGGAGCGGACTCCTGGCTTGACTTGTATCCCCAGGATGCTGCCTCAGCAAATTCAAAGTGGTCCAAAGATGGATAGCAGAGAAATGTTCCAGCTAGAAGAAAATTTTCATTGGGGCATAAAATTGTGTTGTGGTTGAATGTGCAAGCACTGCCTGATCCCACTGGCATCCTGATCTCTGCAGGGAGTGCTGCTACAATACAAAGGCTGCCATGAAATTTCTATGCTAACCATCCCTACTGAGCACTAGGGACTGTGTTGAAAGAGGGATGGAGAAGGGTCAGAGACATACTAAACTGCCGTATGACAGTTCTTGTATTTTAGGGCCCAGTCAGCAATAAATGTAACAATTCTCAACAGAATCCACACTCTCATCTCTGCTCAATGGGCTATAGTGAAGAGCTGATAATTTTTCTTGGTTTTATTTTGGGGAGAGTCTGGAGCAGAAAAAAAAACCCCAAACTTCAAAGGTCTGTTGCCACTCCAGGTTTCCTTTCACACATACTCTCCCAGTCCCACCTTAAGGCTTTCAGAATGCTCTCTGGGAGGTGGATCAGGACCTCTGCCTAAAGACCGCCGTGAACCCATGTAGGCTGATCATTCATGGAAAAGCAATGCACAGCACAGTGAGGTGAACCTTACTCCACATTTGGAATGTGGATGGTAGCACCCCCTTTTTCCTCTCTCTCTTGCAGTGGCTCTCCAAAAAAACCCTGAATATATTTGCCACTTTATAGGAACCCCATTTTGCCACTTGATCCTCCCTAAAAACGCAGGCCTAAAACTGTCTGTGTTGTGGATCCCAGCTGATGGGAAGACAGGATGAATTAGGGAGAAGGAGGCTCCTTTCCACCAGTGAATTTCCTTTCTACTAATTTTCAAAGGTGTCATCCCTTCCCTTTCACCGCCTCTCAATGGTCTGGAAGTGGGGCTGGTTCAAGATTCACATACATTCTGCTCCAGCCAGGGCCTGTGGCAGGTCTGGTAAGGTTGGTAGCTTTGAGTCATGGAAGGGGAGCATTTCTGCATTTCCTTTAGCTGCACTGTTTTCCTGAAATAACATGAGATGTTTTGTAGGGAGCATGCATCCAGGCGGGAGAGATGCTTGGACATCCTGTGCTTAGGTCATGCTGTGCCTTGATCATTCCTTCAAGTTCTCTTCTCTCTAAAAAAACTACACAATTTTAGGATAAGCAAAGAATTTCAATTTTTAGGTACAAAAGGCACATGTCAGCAGTATGCCTGCTATAGACTGAACATGTATGAATGATATCAGCCAGTGCACAAACAGTGGAACAGGCATGGGCAGCAGCACCCGCAGCTTCTACACCATGTATCTGTTCAGCAGTCAGCTAGGACTAGTTGCCAAGACTGAAAAACAGCCATAGCTGCTGAAAAAACACGCACAGTAGAAGGACATGCACTCAACTTGAGCTGTGGGGAGGTTTCTTGTTTAGCATTAAAGAAGCGCTGCTCATTTTACAGGGAGCTGTTACTTGCCACTGAGCCCTAGTCCTCAGACAGAACTTCAGTGCATCTCTCCAGTTGGTTGAGGTCTTCCCACCACCCCGTTAATGAAACCAGTTGTAAGATGAGAACTGTCCAGGATGTGTGCTGGAGGAAAGATTAAATCACACACTACTGTCTCATTAGAGTCCAGCTTTCCTAGCGACCGTGGGCTCTTCGCTCCATTTCACTGCTGGGTCTGGAGCATGTTCAGATTTGGCTGATACTGACAATCTTGCCTTTATCCAGGACTGCTGTCCCTGCTGATGGCTTTCAGGGTTCTTTTCGTGGCCATTAACTTCTTTAGTCTGCCTAAAGCACTTCTCTCATCTCTGTGACTCTTCAAGAGTTGCAAATAAAAAGAAAAAAAAGTAAATTCATCACAAGTTTTGTGCAAGATTTTTGTCTTTGGATATAAAATCAAGTAAATGTTGTACAAAAGCACTTGACTACTAAGAAGCAGACATGGGTGCACAGTGGTGTTGGCTGTGGGTAATGGAGATTAATAAATTAGTCAATATATGATACCTTTGATTTAAAGCAGGAGTTGCCATCCTGAAGATCATGGCTGCCTGGCTCTTCTCGTGTTGCCAAATAGTAAGAGAATTGAGCTTTGATGGAAAGGAGGGAATCCTCTTTCTTCCTTCCCACTGCTGGCACCCTCAGTTATAAGCAGTGCTGGGTTGAAGGGATTTCTCCATCAGAGCTAATTACCCAAAATTATTTCAAAGCCATATGCCTGTGTAAACAATTCCTAATAGGGGCTTTTTGCAGTAGCATTGACACCAAGGATTTTTTTTTCTCTAGATATCACTCATTTTGTTTCCTGTTGTTGACAGAATATATTGATGGTGTTGCCTCCTACCTTAAGGAGCTGGCATATGATGGAATATATCAGCCCCAAATCCGAGCTGAAATTCTCCTCCTACCTATTTCTCTCAGTCTCTCCCTCAGATTGTGTTGGTATCACTGGAAGCTGAAGATGCTCATTTCCTGTCAGGGCACTGCAGGCTCAAGCTTTGCATTCATCAGGAATGGGCATCTGGGATACGGTCTAAGAGTATTGCAAAGAATGGATCTTGGATATGTGTGTTCTCCTGCCTGGGACAGGAAAAAAATGAAATAATTAAAACGTAATAGGTTGGATGCTATGCTGGATAAAGAACAAGTTTTGGAGTGGGAAAGCCAGTGTGGATAATTTAATTCACATTTTTATCCTCTCTTTACAGCCACAGGGACTTAAAACCAGAAAACCTACTGCTGGATGAAAAGAATAACATCCGGATAGCAGACTTTGGGATGGCATCGCTGCAGGTTGGGGACAGCTTGTTAGAAACCAGTTGTGGGTGAGTGTCTCAGAACGTATTGCAAAAATCAGTGATAGATTCCAGACATAAAAGTTGTCTATAGTAAGGGTTTCGGTAAAGACCTGCAGACTTACACCATACATTGTTATTTCCCAGCAACATAATAAGTTGATATGTGCATAGTGCATAAGATAGCTAAAAGAAGGGTTTCTTAAGTGCTTTACAGTGAAAAGAAGGCCTCTGTAGGTGTCACATGGATATAAAAGTGAAGGCTTTCAGGTTTGGATTCATCTGCATACGCTGGTGTGTGTTTGCTTTCACTGGCCATATAATTTTTGGGAACTGAAAGTAGAGTTGACTGTTTCAAGAAGAGGCTTTAAAAATATTAGGGGGTGAAAAAAACCGAATCTAGTGGTTCTGAAATGGAATTTGCATGTCCTGATTAGGCTGCCTGCTTGCAGCTCTTCTTGTTCATGCTCCAAACTGCTTCGTTTCAGCTCACATGCAGGATTGACAGGGAGGCAGCAGCGTCCTTTGCAATTACAAGCAGGGCACAAATGCAGATACAAAGGAGACTGCTTGAAGGAATATTGCAGGGACAGTCCAAAAACATTTCCATGGCAATTCAGTTGCCAGCAAGAGCTTTCTAGGAATTTCCAAGGGAGCCAGCAATAAGCCCAACAGCTGAGCAAAGCCTGGATATACCCGGCCGGGGACAGGATGTGCGCTCCAGAGGCAATGCCCTCTCATCACCATCACCTCTAGGGGCACCACTGGACCATGCCCTCCCCACCCCCCTGTAGCTATGGCGTGGTGCCATGTTGACTGTGCAGGGGACTGCCGCAGTGAGCTGTGGCAAGGGCAGCAGCTGCATCAAGCTGCTGCAGCGTGGCACCACTGCGCCAGCTTTTAGCTGTGCCTGAATTTGTTATAACAACATGCTCAGCAACTGGAGTTGCAGACAGTACCAGCAGATTTCTACCTCCTCCCGTACAGTCCTACTCTTCCTGGCCTTTGGTAGTGTGAATCTGATGACTCCAGCCGAGCCCTGTCCGCAGCTGGTAACAGTCCATGTTTTTTTGGTCTGTGCTCTGAGCCAAGGCAATTCAGGGTAGACATGGAGCCGTTGTGGTTCCCTGTACAGCCCAGCCACTGCCTCTCAGTCCTGAGCTGTATGGCTCTGCTTTCCAAGTCGTGAATAATGGATGGCAAAATTATTTGAAGTTCATGATGTGATCGAATGTTGGTTGATGAGCACAGTGAGACCCACTCATTCCTTCGTGTCCATGTCAAGTCAAGATTTGACCTCTTAACAGCACAGATGAAAAGCAAGGATCTGTGACTCTGTACATCTGTTGCTTGCAGCTGCTTTCAAACCTCCCCTCTAGATTAGGAAATTAAGTCCTCCCTGCAGTTACCACAAAGCCTCTCTACTCTTCCTTCCATGAAAAAAACAGGAGAAAGTATAAAAACCAAGTCTCACATTGCCCTGTAGGATTTTTCAAACTCCTCGGGAGCCTGTCGGTAGGGTTCCTGTTCTTGTTAGCACTGGGCTCTGTCATCCAGGTCTAGAGTCTCAAAGGGAGACTTCCTTTCCATAAGCTGTGCTGGAATTCAAACCTCCATGCTTCAAGCAGAGCAAGCCCCCACGTTGCAGCCTTAAAACGTGCTAATAAATCAATGGAATGGAAGAGACGTGCCTGTAATAAACAGAACACAGCAGCAATGCTATGATCTCCTGCCTTGCAGATGCATTTTAAGTGTGGTGCCAATCACTAGGCCTCCGTGTGAGCTATTACACCACTTCATTAATTCTCCTGGCATGGAGCCCAGCATGGCAGATACTGGTGTCTTGTGATCTCTCTGGTTTGGGGGGTGAAGGAAGGAAGGAAGGAAGGAAGGAAGGAAGGAAGGAAGGAAGGAAGGAAGGAAGAAATATATAACAATATGCTACACTGTTCACAAAGAAAGGCAATCCAGTTATGACTCCCCTTCCCTTAGAGCACGCACAGTAACCAACCTGAGAGCTTTTCAAGGCAACAGCTTTACCTACCCTCGTAGTTGGTAGTTTCAGCCAGCATGAAAAGGAACAAAACAGAGTGAATCATGGCTGAGATACTGAGCTTTAATGAGATGCTCCTCTGTGCACCCAGAAGTTAATTTCTAGAATGGTTTTATCTGTGCTGTGAACACTGATAATGAGATGAAACTGTAACATTTCCATTGACAGTCACGCAAGGAGTCTCCAGGTATTTCTGTCAGTCAGAGTGGGAGGATCAGATGGGGTTGAGCCATGTGATGCAGCTAACTTTGTCAGTACAGCAGAGCGGCTAGAGTGCAATCAAAAACTCTTTGCTGTCACAAGTGAACTGCTAAGTTTAATCCAAAGTTTGGGTAGGCTTTAGGTCACCACAGAGCTTTGACTGACCTCATGGAGATAATCACATAGTCTGAAGTATGCTGTATTGCATACCTCAGAGTCAGTCTTTTCTGGGAGCTACTCCTTAGATCTGCACGGTTTTCTGTAGCACTGATGGCTACCTGGAGAAAACAATAGAAGTTCAATCCAGTGGTGTTTGTGTAGGAGAGTGTGTAAGGATGAACTTGCTGCTTCATTGACATAATTTGTCACTGACAGACTGCACAATGGGCCTTGATTGTAATGAATCCCCATTACTGGAAATGTATATTGCACAAATCCTGCATATACACAGCACAGAGGAATAAGCCGTAGTTTTAAACATGTGTCTTTAGACCTTTGAGGGGAAGAGGAGCTGTGTGTAGGGTCTGCAGGGAATAATTCTGCTTACTGCAGAAATTGCACAGCAAGGCAGTCTCATGGAGAGAGAGTCCTTGAAATGCCAAAGTAACACAGTGAGTCTCTGCATTCCTCCAGGAGCAGGGGAGGTCTGTGAGCAAACAGCAGACAAGGAAGGAAGCGTAAGATGTGGTAGCATGCTGCTTCTATTATTTTAGATCTTTTCGGCTCTTCCTTCTCTTTACCCATCCAGGCAATGGCATGCAGAGAGACTCCCCTGTCTCTTTTCACAGCAATTCTTCCCAGCCTGCTGACTCACAGTGTTTCAGAATGGTAGATATTGTCCAATCTATCCTGAATTGTCACTAGGCTAAAAGAGTGAGTGCCTTATGGTTAAACCTCAGGCCTGAGACCCAGGTGATCTGAGCTTGATTTCTGTCTCTGCTGAAGGCATTCAGGGTGGTCTTGGACAAGATTCATTACCTTTCTCTGCTTCAGTTCTTCATCTTAGCCAGTCATTGCTTTGCCCAAGTTGCTCTGAACAGAAATTGCAATCATTTCTGTAGGAGTCTTGGAAAAGTAGGAAGGGTTGGGGCATTCCGTGGACCTTGTTCCCTTTTCTTGAACTAAGAGGGCTTATGGCTAAAATGAAGGATTGAAAGAGGATACTCTTGACTAACAATTCTTGGGAGCTTGTAAAGATCCTTCCTAATTCCCTATTGCTCCTTACAGAAACCTGGCAAAGTAAATTTTTGCCATCTCTTCACTTCTCTCCGTCTCACTCATCACAGCTTTGAAACACTGAGTCCTACTGGATGGATATTTCTGCAAGCTGCCAGGTGACTGAGAACCCACAGCAGTGCTAGTCCCTGTGCTGCCTGCCTCCAAATCTCTCTATCCCAACCAAAAGCTAGGACAGAGCTGACATGTAAATGTAGCTTGCTCCAGCACCAGACCCGATCTCTGCAGAGGCGGTCCGTATGGAGACTGACACCACTGCTGACAGCCCCACAATTAACTGACTATGCAACAGTTCTCCATATTGGTGTCTCCATAGGGAACCACTGGCCTGATCCAGAAAGCTGTGTGCATGTGGGAAGAGCGATGCTGATTATGATTGTATTGAGAGTGAGAAGAAAGCCTCCGTTATGCCTGTCAGTGGCATAATGGAGGAAAACCAGCTTCCAACCCCAGCAGAGTCAATTCCTCTGCTCTCAGCTCTCCCTAGCAATTCCTAGCAACACTTTGCAGACCTGCAGGTTGCCTGGATCTATCAAAAAAAAAAAAAAGCACATATTCTCATTAGGACTGATTACTGTTTCTTTTTGAGCTCAGGGTATTTATAACAACCAATGCACTGTGTGTTTGTTAGAAATGCTAGCAGAGGTCATCTAGCTCCTGATTCCCTTACATCTGTATTTGGTGTATCGGCACATCTATGATGAGCAGGTAATTCAGAAGAGCGATATTCAGTTGCCACACACCTCAGTGTCCAAGCACCATTTCTGATTTTAATGACATGATGCCGCACATATTCTTTTCCCTTTATAACAAATTGGAAATGCCAGAATTATTGCTTTTTACCCCATCTCATCAAGAACTTCCATTCCCAGCACTCCATTCCCATCTCCTTCCCTGATTCGCACTCTAGTCTTGCTGACTTCTCCCAGTCATTTCTGCTCCATATTTGGCCCCAAATCCCAGATTCTTTTCTCTCTTCCACTAGGCTCCAGCTCTAGTTTCCCCTACCTGCTTGTCCCAGTCAGTTGCTGTCAGTCCTAGATCAGTGCAGTTCCTGTTGGTTTTACACTCACTTTGTTTTACAGTTTGGTACCTTGTGATGACCACAGCCACAGCAGCTCATAGTATCAGTTTCAGGTAGAAAAATTGTCCTGTGAAGTGTTAGCAGTACAGGTAGCATTTTGATCCTGATGCTCTAGAGATTTTCCGTTAGTAAATGCAAACTGCAGTTTTCTAGTGGCAATTTGAGTAAATTTTTCTATAGAATGCAAACAAATATTAAAGTTTTCCCTTTGCAGTTGAGGATACTAGAAATTTTCCTTTTTTATGGGAAAAAACATTTAAATTAGATTAGACTTAGGTAGTGGAAATATTTCGGCCCATACGCAACATGCATGCACATACAAACATGAAACAAGTCTGAAGCAGACGAAAGGCAAGGAAAATTGTTGTTAAATTGTTAAATTGATGGTAAGTCATAAGCAACTTAAAATGAGGATTATAAAGGGAAATACCAGACAACATTATTAATAACCATTAA